ATTTATTCCTGTGTAAAGGTTTTTATGGCTGTGTAGATTTTCGATATTAGTTCTGAGGTCATGTGAGTCTTCAGATTGTGCTGCAGTGGACAGTTCTTTACTTTCTTTGACAGTAGCAATACTGCCATGTAGCCCGATGTTGTCATATTCCAGAAAGTAAGAAGATCAAGAGCTTGGTTAATGCTAGGATGGGAGACTTCTAATGAAAGCCATGTTCTTTTTGTAAGTGGTGCTACTGGACATGTAGGTGGCCCTCTTTGCTCTAGACCATAATTTACAAACCCATGCAAGGTGACTGTGGACACTGTGTTGTAGCAAGTGCCATCCTTTGGATGAAATATTGCACTGAAATCCTCTCTACCTGTTCATTAAAGATGCCGTGCTACTTTTTGTCTGTGTAGTGTATACACAGTGTACAGGACAATCTGTGTACTGGGGCTACAGGCACATAATGGCTGTCATGTGTAAAACCAGAATTTCTGCATTTCAGTGGTGAGAGAAGTGGGTTGTCTCCTATGTGTGAAGTACTTTGAGACCTTCTGGGATGAAATGTACGATATAAATGCAAGGAATTATCCTGAACACTAAAGAATTAATGGCCTGTTTTTAAAATAGACCTCTTACCTGACTTCACTTTACTTCAACCTCCCCAACTTGGAGGAGGATTTTTATAATTATTCGAATGGGTTTTTATTTATTATTGTTTGACTGAAAACTGAAATGGTAATGTATTCATTCAACACTGTACTTTCCATGCCATTACTGGATGGCAGAAATGAAGATGCATCATCAGTAAAATCAGCTTCTTCTGTAAAGTCCAGGACAGATTTTAGATTTACTGGTGCAGCTTTCCTTCCCCTCTCGCGTTTTCCCGCAGTGGGAGAGCACTAGGGCTAGTCGTGTTTCCGGGACCTGAGACATCCTGTGTAAGTACTGCAGCTTGTGGTTTTGTGACACGATGCTGTGAGAGATCAGGAAGTCTGGTTCATGCTTTGTGTGGGACTAATGTGAAGACAGAGGATTCCAATCTGCTCTATCCAGCCCACAGATCCTGGCCTTGTGTGGGCTGTACTCAGATAGATATAAATGAGCACCAGATGTCAAAGAGTGACAAGCAATTACTCACTTAGTGAAAGCAGGTATTTGTCTGCCGGAGACTTGGGGCTGCACAACTTACCATTCAACATCTTGTAATTGCCTCATTTTCAACTTCAGTCTATAAAAAACAACTGATTAAAGTTCACAGAAGCTTATTGATCTTTTCGTGTTAAATATTTTAATTTAGCCTTTGAGGTTCTGCTTTTCTCTTTTGGAAATTGTGGCTAAAATATCTACACATCTCTGTGTCAGTACTTACTGTATTTTGATGCCAAAAATAGATGTCAATTACACATGCAGGTTCTATTTACTATTTAATTACCTGAGCTGGTCTGTATTTCTTTAGCCCTTTTGAAATATGTCTTTGAAAAGTAACTTTCAGGGATAAAGGGCAGGTTTCTCTTCCAGAATCAGTTATAGGACCAACACCCCTTAATCCATGTGATCTGGACTTAACGATCAATGATCTGGACTCTACTAAAGTGAGTACTCTTTTAGTGAGTACATATTTGTCGATGAAACACAAATAGAGTTGCAAAGGGTTTAGTGACAGCACAAGAAATAGTAAATAACACTCACTTAAAATGAGATAACATTCAGTACTGGAAGACAACTGTCATCTTTAACGTGATTATCAACAAGATATTACATACAGGAGGGAAAAACTTCCGTTTGAAATATCACATGGGTGGTATCATGGTAACAAGTTACATGTCTAACAAGTTGTTAATTGATTATGAATTCAAATCAATTAACACTATATTAAGATTAGCAATACATTAGTTAGATCAAGTCTGGAATATAGAGTACATTTTTTAATAACCATGATATTACTGCTTTAGAGGCAGTACAAAGAATAGTAACCACACTCTTGGTCCGAAGTCTGGTCTGAAGGGAATTTCAGTACATTTCATCATGAAATGTAATAGCAACCAAACAAGCAAGCTAGGTCAAAATGCCCATCTTCTCATTTGTACTGTAACTTTTCTGACGTTTCAATATATCACATTGGGAAAACAAAAAAAGATAAAGAAGTTCTGTATAAAAACAGTGTAGGAGGTTTGTGAATTTACTGGGACAATTTATTAATTGTAGCAGTAACCGGGAGGTGATTCTTTATGGCTATTAGAAAATCAATCGATCAGCGACACACACACACAGATTCAATACACGTGATACATTTATAAATATATAAATTGTGCATATAAAACATATAACAGTCTGCCTGGATACAGAGCAATAGATTATCAGGCTGCACCACAGAGATGAGGAAGAGAGATGAAGCCTCATTTAGGAAAGCACAGCAACACTTAATTCTGGCTAAGTGATAAGCATTGCCGCTACAACAGCAATAGATTTTACATAAGATCTAACTTCACAGTAGGTCAGATGAAAAGGTTTAAGAAAACTTTGATTCCTGTATTGTGTTTCCAGATCAATGAAATATTCAATAATTTCCAAATCAAGTCCTTGAGTGCTGAGCAGAACTGAACTGAGATCTACTGCATATGATTAAATTCAGTAGTTTTCATTCAAAACTACTGCCATAGATGCTATCTTACTGATGAAGAGCAATCCTAAATTCCCAATGTATTTGACCTCACAACACTGTTAACTGCTGTTTGCCGATCTGCAGAAACATACATGTCAGGTCCAGCCTGTTTGCCTTCAATTATGTATTCAACAAAACTTTAAACAAAATTTTTGGGTGTGGTCCAAATCTAACTTTGCCTACTTTTATCTACCTATGTATAAATACACCTCTTCTTGCTTTCTCATTTGCACATTTGTTTTTTTCTTCCCTCTCTCCATCCAATCTTCTCTCTTGCAGCGGCTCTCTGGCTCATTCCTCATTAAATGGGGGTTCCAACAGTTCAGTCCTTACAGAAGAGTTGTTGTTCTCCTCAGCCAGGTGAGATAATCCCAATAAAGCTCACTCTTTGAATTACGCCTCTTCTCCACATTAATTAAAGTTTTACCAAACTACTGAATTGTAGATAATAAAAGGAATGGATTCTATTGAATTCGCAACCACAGCTTTTTAAAGCATGGAAAATTGAAAACAAATGTTAGCCTCAACAAAACCTTTTGAAACAGAAAAGACTATCAAATCACAAACCTTTGGGGAATACAATGCAAATCATTATGTCTTTCACACAGGAGGCCTGACATTCCTGCTTGGGTTTGTTGCTGCACACTGGAGAGTTCAAGGACTCCTGTCAGTCTGCACTCAGCCTTACTGTCTTGTCACCTGAGGAGATGCATTGTCAGTACATGTCAGCCTAGTAATGCTATACAGAGGAGGCAGACTGAGTGCTGACAACTACAACAACTGATCAGACAGGTGACAGGAAAACAGTGGAATATCATCTCATTCTGCCTTCCATGACTACATACAGTACAGTGGGCATTAATACACAAACATACATACTGTACGTTCCTGACATAACCTGCATTCTCTGCTGATTCTTCTTCTTTGACCTTGGAAGGGATATATAGGGAATGGTGATTTACTCCATCAGACTAGCCAAGGCATTGCATTTTACATAGTGAGAAAAAACATGGTTGCTGTTTAATCCCTCTCTCTCTTCAACTTAATACAGTTGAAAGTATTGCTGAGTATAATCTCTAAAGGTTTCCTTTAATATTATGTAATTTGGGTTAAAAACATTGGTAGAAAAAAGCTTGGAGAGTCATGAGGCACGAAGAGATCTAATTAAACCATCACATTAAATCTCACAATTAAATATATATAAGATGCCTGTAGTCTTTTGAAACCTGCTGATTTCTACCTACCTCATAGATTAGAGTCCTCGTTATAAAATATTCAAGAGATTCTTTTTTATTTGGAAATGTAACTCCCTTGATTCTTTATCTGAATTACTGTACATAGTGACTGTTTGCTTTTCATAAGCATTTGTATGTGAGAATGTGCAGGAGTCTTTATTCATCATGGTTGTATCTGGATTCCTTGAGAGCTGCAGAACCTTCCCTTTCCACTTGCTTGATCTAATTAAACTCTAAAACAGTTCTGTTCACCACAGCTGTGTGAAAGTGTTGAAAAGCATGGCACTCTTTTGCCTTAATGCAAAGTGTTCATATGCACACTGTGCTCATTTGTTTAAAACTCCACTCTATGTTTGCTTGGGTGAATGTCTCTCTTCACATGTCTTTTACAAGAAAAAATGACCCAGAATCATTATAGCTTCTCTACCTCTTTGTCCAAGATTATTTTTGGTAAATATTCTCAATCTATTAAATTCATAAGGAATTTGAGGCTGTCATAATGTCCAGTCAAAATGAAATAATTCTAGTATATGCGCTAACTGTCAAGATTACTAGGATGGACACTGGCTTTGTGTATTAATAATATCTGCTTTGGCTATTGTACTTTATTTATCTCAAAGCTTTGCTGTGACTGATCTGTAAATGTCTTGACTTTGGACGCAGAATAACCCCTAGACTTCAAAACCCCTGATAGGAAATACAGCAGTCTGGTAAAAAGTATAACTAAGATGCTTATTTGAGAACAAATCCTCATTCAGGTTATAATAATATATGGGGCGGTGCAGTGGCTGGGGCAGTGTGGTGGCTCTGTGGCTAAGGATCTGCGCCTGTGGCTGGAAGGTTGCCGGTTTGTATCCCGTAGCCAGCAGAGAATCCTGCTCCGTTGGAACCCTGAGCAAGGCCCTTAATCCCAACTGGTCCAGGGATGCTGTATAAATGGCTGACCCTGCACTCTGACCCCAAGCTTCTCTCCCTGTCTCTGTGTCTCATGGAGAGCAAGCTGGGGTATGTGAAGAGACATTCCCAACACAAGAAGTTGTATATGGCCAATAAGTGATCTCTTAAATACATGTGTTTTATTCTTTAAAAAAAACAAACACTTCTGGACATCAAGCTCAGTTGAGATTAGCAATGCATTTTTATTTTTAGCCAAGGAATTTCAGTTCCACACATACAATAATTTCATACATTGTATTATATCAATTTAATGCTACCTGTTTTTTTAAAGCATACATCTAATAAATTTAAAATGAATATACAGTAATAGCATGTTTCAGCTTTAGAAAATCAGACAAAAAATGCACACAGTCATTAGCACATAGACAGAGGACACAGTCATTAGCACATAGCACTTGTGTTATGATCACTGTATGAATGGATCCTACAGTGTTTAGCACTGCAGGTGATGGCAAATGGATATCAGACAGGCTGGCTGTGTTTCAGATGCAGTTCTGGCATTTTCCTCTAGGGGTGCTGGAGAAGAGGGTATCTAGATGCACTTGAGGAGGAAAGAGTTGCAGATGCTCCCTCTGGCACAGTCACACAGCTTCCCAATCCTGGGACCTTGCCTCAGTGCACAGCGATCTCCGACATCACACTGTACAGAAACAGACAGAGAAAGAAGACTCGATATGTATCTCCCACGCTGGGCGCTGGTTAGCATTCTCAAACTGCTTCTGTCGGCATAATTGGTCAGTGGCACAATAACAGGAAGCTGATATTGTCTGTGAACATGTCAGACTGTCTAAAGTTTAATCTTCATATTTGGGTTTTTCCCATGTTTTGGCCTCTTACAGAAAAATACAACAATTGGTGTCCCAGGCAGAGAAAAGTATAAGGGGTCCAATGTCAGGGCAAACCTGCTAGTATCACAGTGTTCAGTAGCAGTGAAACAGTACTTCCCGTTAACCTTATCTGGGTTCTAAACCAGCCTTCAGGATGTTTAATTTTTATGTTATTTTTATTTCTTTAATAAAACAAGATGAGATCAAATCAAATTTGGGGTGTTATCATGGCAGGTTTGAAGTGAAGGTGGGTCTCTTCCATGACTGCATGATCATTTTTCATCCTGTTTTAAGAAATATGGATGATTCCTATAATGGTCCTCCTCAAAGGACACAGGAGGCTACTGCATTGGACAATTAAAAAAAGTTCCTGAATTCCCAGAATTGAATAAACACCATAAAATTAAATTTAAGAATACCAGACTTTAAATTATTTGCTCATGATGAATAGTGTCGGTAAAGAATGTATTTAATGAGTACATACACTTTAACTAGGACACTGTGTAAAAAAATATTTTTGCATTGAAGGTTAAAAGCCAAATAGTGAATAATATGTAATGCTATCCCCAAGACCACTTAATTAAAGTGACATTTGAAGCGAAGGGTGTTTACCAGACCTTTGCAGCTAATTAAACATTGTCTCCTTTATCTGTTCTGTTTTTTATAGTCTTCATGCCTGTGGGCCACAGCTTTTCCAAGGGTTAGTACTGTACACGTACTCCCTCTGCCTGCTTCCCTGTTGACTTTACTAATTGGTTGTCAGTTCTGTCTCAGTAACTTCAGCTTTGGTGAAATTAAACCCAGTCTTGAATGAAAAACTCCTATTGTAAAATAAGCTTCTCCAATTAGCGTATGTAAAGAGCATAATGGGCATTATCAGTGAGGTCATGGGTTCTAATTTACAGGAAAAAAATCTGAAAGGAAAAAGACAGAGGAATTGTCTTTAACAAATTAGAGTTCATTTCTCTAAATTTGATATTACTGATGTTACTTCTACCAATAATAATGATAAACATACATACATATACTGTAGTTATCGTCGCTGAAAATTAAGAATACGAGGAAGCAGAAATTAACAAGCGCAGGTAAGTCTTGAATTGTTGTAATATATGCAGTCAAAGGCAATGATTAAAATACCATAGGAATGGTGGCCGCTTTCTTCTCGTAGGAAGGAAATCTGCTCTGGACTTTCCCCAGAAGTTCCTCCATCGCCTCCACCTGTGAGAGTAAAGAACATACGGGTCTGCTAAACTGCGATTCACACCTCTGAATCACCAGTTAATATCATAACCCCAATATACCGTTTTTCTTTGTTGTAAGAGCTCATCAGTGTTAGCAAAGAACGACTTTAATTCTACCAGATTTACGATCGCATAGATACATGGAAAATTAAGCTGATTTAACATTCTGACGATTAAAATGTGTCCATTTTCCAGTTAATCAACAATTAAAAACGTTATTGAAGTTAAAACACCTGGAGTTGTTATAAAAACTTTAATTTACAGCGAAACCCTTTGCGGCACTTTAAACAAGAAAGTTCATGACAGTCAGCAATACAGAGACAAAGCCGTCCGTTTATTGGACAATAACAAGTATACTCTTATACGTTTGAAATGGTGAACGCCAACCATGAACGTTAAACAAAGATTTCAAACAAATCTTCCAAAAACAAAGAATCTCCTTTAGAACTATATACTTTAGCAACTATATACGTTGAATGATATGGAGTTTATGTAAGCAGTGCACAAACAGAACTTTTCAAAGTAATGAGAAACCATTTAAACAACGTTCTTACCAGTTCCTTCTCTGTAGAAGACGGAGATTTCTTGGCTGCGAATTCCTCCGTGGATAGTTCTCTAGAGGACTGTCCATAGCAAAGGACCAACACGAGGCTGGCACACAGCAAACTCATCATAAGGCTAGAGCTCTCCATAGTGCTGAAACGAGGCGCACTTGAGGCACCGAAGTACTCTTGTCGGTGCTGAAACAGAACGTAGAGAAGCCCAGAGTTTGGTTGGGTCAGTGTGCCTACGCCCCAGACACTCTTGGGTTATCTGCTGGTCTCTGAAAAACCGAATCCCCTTTTATTAAACGTCTAGCCCCGCCTGCGAGGTGACTCCTAAGTGTCAGGGAGTATGTGTTTGTGTGTGTGTTGGGTGATGGTGGGGAGGGTGTAGTTTAACGAGAGTAAGGTGATATAAGGTAAAAGGTCACATTTACCCATCATCACACTTGTTTTTCTTGAAAAAAAATTATCTGTTAATTAGAAAGCGCACTTTATTACTGTAACAAGTCTTTTGTGGACTCTGGAATGGCAGCAACATGAAAATACTTTTTTAAAAAAATTTAACAGTTTATTGTTGCATTGGAAAATGTGTATATTAAAATCTTCAATTTGCAATTTTATCTGCGTTATTCCCCAGGTTACAAGTGAATATGCAGATATGACACAACACGCATAACTTGAGAATTACCTTAAACTCACTCGTGAAAAACACCCTGACAAATGTTTATACCATAGTGTGTCATTATTAACAAATAAAAGCTTTGAAAACACGCCTGTATTTTAATGTTTTACTGTATGTACAATGGTTTATACATGTATCAGTGTGATTTGCAATTTAACTGTTAGTGTAAATTTGTTTTTATTACTATATTTTATCAAACAGACAACCAGACAACAGGCAACCACACATTGATCAGCTGGTATGGAACCAACATTATCTCATTTGCAATAAAAATATTATTTCATTGCAAACAGTTTTTCTTCTTCTCCTCCTAGGACCAGAATGGTAAAAAACCTGGGAACAGAATGTTACTAAATTAATTTTCACACGTGGCAGGTTGTCTGGTTGAATAAAGGGGAACACGAAGAGATGAGATGGCAAGTTGGCCCATATTTCTGTCGCAAATGCAGTGTCTGCCAGATGTTAAATTATGAGACCAATTTAAAGCTCTGGTCAAGTCGTGTTAAAATACACTAGACACATACCCAGGCCACAGCTGGTGACAAATGAATTTCATGTGCTGCTTAATGACTTTTGGTTTCCCTTGTTGCAGATCACTCTTGTGAATAAGAGTACAGTCTCTGATTTAGTCCAGTTACCCTGGTGGATTCTGAACTTTACATTTGTTTCTGTGCTTCTTTATATTAAAATATCTTTCGCTTTTTTTCTAACATCTTCAGTTTCCTCATTCAAAGAGAAAATGTCTTGCTTAGTTTTTCAGTCTGGCAAAAGAAAAGTTTACCCCCAGCAGTTAAATATTGTAGCATCATTTCTCTTTATTGTGTAGACTTTAACTGATGTTTTAATTAAAATTTCAATATGAAAATATTGCTAGACAGGCCTCATTATATACACATCCAGATGTACAGCTAATGTGTGAGAACTTCAATTGTTTAACTCACAGCTCTGCACTTCAGACTTGACTAAGCACATAGAAAAGACATTTGCCTTACTGAGCTAAACAGTTTATACTTTGTTTTTAATTAATCACATTCATTGTTCACCTTTGTTATGACTGCTCATTTTCAAAAGAGCCCTAACTCCATATGCAGTTGGGATAATTAAGCAGCAGTGTCTCTGGGAGCTCTCTGATCCTTAGGATTAAAGATGTTAATGCCTACCAGTGGGTTCAGTAAATTAAATATCACTAGCTAGAGCAATTTTGATGAAGGCAACCTGTGCTGATCTAAAGTTTGAAGTTCCTCTCATTTGCAGTATATACCTTATGAATGTTATTTTCCCCACCATCCCAAACTGCCCACTGATCCCAAATCCACATTTTCAGATTCCCAGAGACAAGAATAAGAAAATAAAACTCATACTGTGAGAATTCTCTGAGGCTTTGTTAAAATATTGCAAATTCGTTTCCTTGCAATGTTCAATCTCACCCCATGAGACATGTTACACAACCCTTACTTTTTTAAGGTTATTACTACCCTATTAAGACTGGAGTTAGACAACAGGGGCAGCGAAGAGACGCTTCTGTCTTCAATAGGATCTTTCATCTACTGCCTCCACAATTCCCTGGGGGGATGTTCAGAACAGAATGATTTTCTTTCGGCGTTACGATCAGAAGTTATCACTTGGCCAAGTGAAATAGCCCCCCCTTGTGGTTCTTTCGCAAAGTTTAACTGACTTTCCAGAAACACTACAGAAATGGGCAGGTTTGCGTTATTATGAGATTAATCCGTATTATTGTGCAGATATTCCACTGAGTGGAATCCTTGTTGTTGTTTTTTTTTTCTTCTGACATATCATAAAGTCATCATATTACTATTTTAAATGCATTCACTCTCCAGAAGTGATGTAATGGCCAGGCTGGGGAACAAATAAACACAGTGCACTCAATTTAAACCTTGTACATTTACAAAAACGTATATTCTGCAACAAATACCATTCCATATTTTGCTTGTGGTTAACATTATTACAGTGGGTAATTTAAAACATATGGAGAAGGGCACCCTGACAGTTGTCCTTGACAATCACCATGTTATACTTAATGGACCTGGTATATCAAGGTTTGTAGTGGTCATGTGGGCAATGGAGATTACAGATTTCCTCTAGAATGCAAACATATTGCTTTCTTAGGTATCTCACCCAGTATTAAGCCAGGCATTTCTCCAGTGCAGGGGTTACTGAAGTACAAGTTGCTGGTAGACACATTTGCTTCAGTGGATTGATTAGGCGTTTTGGGTCTAATAAAGTCTTGTGTAACAGGACTCACTGGCACCAGGCATACTACAGAAGTGATGTCACACTTTTGAGGCCTAGACTGTGCAGTGTCCTCCTGTGGCAGTGGACTGGGTTGGGCAGTGGAGTGGAGCTCTCTGCTCTCCATGGACTGGCACGCCGTACACTCTGAGCCCCTGAGCAACCGTGATCCAGGTCCAGCAGGGCCAGAGCAGAGCTGCACTGCTCACACTTGCCAGAGCTGGGAATAGGAGAACCTCTGGTGACACTTACTGAAGCTCAGAGAACAAAGGGGGAGAGGGAGAGAGAGAGAATTCTTCACCACCTCAAGCTTGAACAATCTGGATAAACAGAAAAGACATCTCTCATTAGGCCAGTGATTTAGCATTTTATTCAGGGTTACTGTTACTGTTTTCTAATTAAAATTTTACAAGAGTAAATAAGCAGTGATATATTTCAGGGTCTCTAAATAAGTGTGTATTAATGTTTAAAAAAAGTCCTTCACACATGACATACAGAAGTTATTAATTCATTGCAATATAATTACTAAATTTGAGGCTTATTAAAAGCTTCTGGTGAAGTGAAGATGAGAGGACACACAGCAACAGAATTTACAGATACAGTATACTAAGGAGCTCTTCTTGGTCAGGACATCTGCTCTGATTCCACCTAGCAGTGCTGAAGAAAAGTGCTTCAGTGGACCCTACTGACAGACTGTACAACCATTATCGTACATGGCTGGTAATCAGACTGCACTAACTAATGGCTTCACTGATTGATCTGAAGTCTTTCCTCTGTTTCTCATCTAGAAACAACTGTGAAATCAATGGTATCTCACTGACTCACGCTTGAAACAAGCAGCACTATCAATGGCTCATTTAAGTCACGTGTAACAAATGTGTTTTTATTGCTTCATCTTGGGTTAATGGGAACTTTAAGACCTTTGTGAAGAAGCAGAGCTGGTATATGGCTGTTTATGATAGTGAATGCTTACGAGTGGATTTTGGGATTTTCATGTTATGGAGAAAAAACTGCAGAAATTCAATGTGAACTTCTAATAAACTGTGGGACAGTCATCCCTGCTCTTTCAAAAACCTGTTAAAACAAGCAAAGGATCACGCAGAGGTAGGACTTAATGATCAAGGCATCCTTGGTTTGGGCCTGGATCATGCCACTAGCTACAGTATCTGTGACTGGGATTCCCCAAAGGATAGTGTGCAATTGACTCAGCTTTGCCGTGGATAAATGTTGATAATAATTTCTTGGCTCCAGGAAACAGCAGCTCCTGTAGCTTCTTAGTGATGTCAGTGTGGGATGCACATTTGACACCCAGCCTCCTCTGTGGCACTGGAGAGCTGCTACCGTGCCAAAATGGCTTGCTGGCACCAATGTTGGAGGAGCCTGTCTGCAACTCCCTTTTTAACCTGTGCTGGCACAGCAGCTGTCTCTGCAAGCCAAGACATAAAGACACCAATGATGATGGGTTGTGAGTTGGGTGAGTAATGACAGAAAATCCCCATGTGATAATTTAGCAGAAATATCAATTTATTGAAAATTTAATGCTCAGCTTACACCTTAGTTCATGTGTAGCAGAGCAACTTTAAAATTGTGTTCTCTCTCAAGCGATTATGTCCACAAATATGGAGCCAGGTGTGATTTCTACTTTTTCTAACAGAGCAGAGTTGTTCAAGTTGTATATGAAAGGCATTTTTCCCCAGTAGGAACACAGAGTTCTGCAGGCATACAGAAAATAAAAGCTACCTTTTTATTTTGACAGGACAGTGACTCTTGATCTTGACCCCAATTAGGTGCTGTCTCAGGGCTGCAGGATCCAATGATAATGAGAATCACAAATAAGCAGATTCACTGTCAGAGAGAGTCCAGTAATTACCATCCTGCAGTCCACATGACTGCTCCTCACAGCCAGCCTACAACATCCACACGGCTGCAGAGCAATGAATGGATGTTAATTGCCATCTTTTATTTTATTTATTCATGCTATTATTTGCCCCGACTAAAACACAGCATGGCAGCAACAAGAGTGCCATCACTTTCAATCACTGTGTATAATTAAATATCTTCGGTAAAGGATTAGTTAAAGACTGGGTCCAATTTTCTCTGACGTTTTTTCCTTCTGTAAGCAAGCTGTGAATCTGTCATGCCCTGTCAAATTAACAAGAGACGTCAGAGCACTTTATTTACAGAGGATGCAATTAGCATTGTTTCTTTAAAACCAGAATCCAACAGAAAGAAGGCAGATTAGAATCTCCCCCTTCTAATGATTGAAGTCAACATCATTTCAACCCAGTGTGACTCTAAAGTTACTCTGTAAGACTCCTCACAACTTGGAGAGGAATGGTGTCAGTTTAAGATTGCTTTGATGACACTGTTGGAAATTTGTTCCTTGAGTCCATTCAACCTGGTTCTTGTGAATGTTAAGGAACAAGTAATAGGTTTATTCCATGCTGAAAAGACAAGAGAGAAAACACAACGTTTTTGGCTATGATGCCTTCTTCAGGTGTGAGCCAGGTGTGAGCTTTGTGAATGTTGTTCCAAAAGCATAAAGCCCACCTCCCTGTCCATTATAAACCCTCCATGCAATCAAGCTGTGCTTGTTAGTGAGGCCACAACATCTGGCTTCTCTCTTTGCCCTGCTATTTCCAGAGCATATGCATGCTGGGCTTTTTTCTACCAGGAATATCACATCAAAAGCCACCTATCCCTCCAGATCATTAACAGGCACCTGCTGCAGCTGGAATTATTTATGACAGCCAACTCCTCTGGTGTGACAGCAGGGACTATATCGTTTGACATGTCAGATGGCTTTACATTCCTGTTCCCTGAAACGGCCCTCATGCAGGTGCAGTCACATGCAACAAGTGTCTGACTGAGAGCGCGTCTGGAATCAGCTCTGGTCTTCTGCAGGGTTAACATGCCATTCTCTTTCAGATAAAGCACTGGAAACGTATGGGACCTGTGGGGCTGTCAATTGGTTTGTGTTACTGCGCCATTCTTAATTCAAAATTGATTCATTCCCCATCACCCTTCCCTAGGGGGGTTTGATGTGCTCACGCTCCAAGGCAAGTATTATCCAAAGCTGCTCCCTTCCATCAAAATAACAGTCCTCTTCTCTCTTGTGTAATCTGGAAAGTGTTGGATAAGCCACACATAGACAAACAAAACTCAGCACAGATTTTCCTCTGTATAAGGCCTCTTATGAAGAAACCATAAACAAAAAAAACCAATAGTAATATTCTGTTCAGTATAATTCAATAACAATTCTGTTATATAGGCATCTTTCTAATACAATTAAGGCCACTGTGCTCAAGGCTTATAATAACATAGCACATTGTCTCCATCCGGTAATTTGGCTTGGCAATAAAGATCTATTGCTGCATTAACTGGGTAATAAATAACAGATAGGGCTCTTTTATGTAGATGCTTTGTTATTGCACTGCAGGGTAAGGTCTTGCTGGGTCAGAGCTCCACCATACCTGAAGAGTGCAGGATGGGATTGGGTTAACATCAGGAATAAGACAATGAGTAAATTCATATCCCTCCCTTCCCACAGTGTGTCTGCTCCTGGCTGCTTCAATCTGTTTCTTAAATTGCAAGCAGCCTGGCAACCCCTTGGTTACTGGGTGTGTGTGGTACACAAAAGGTCATGATTTAAGTGGTGATCTCAGTTTCACAGATAAGTGAAGAACGATAAGGGTGCAGACTGAGTAATATTACCTTCAGGGAGACATGGTGGCACAGTGGTTAGAACTGCTGCCTTGCTGGGGCCCCGGGTTCAATTCCTGGGGTGCTATCTGCATGGAATTTGTATGTTCTCCCCATGTTTGCATGGGTTTCCTCCTGGTGCGCCACTTTCCTCACACAGACGGAAGGCATGCTGATAGGATAACTGATTTCTGGGAAAACTGGCCATGGTGTAAGTGTGCGTGCTTGTATCAGTGTGCGCCCTGCAATGGACTGGCATCCTGTCCATGGTGTACCCTGACTTGCAACTTGCATCCTTTGCTTGCTGGGATAGGCTCAGGCTCCCCCACAAACCTGTATTGGATAAAGCTATTAGAAAATGGATGGATAGGACCATCAAAGCTGAGGTGATGGGTCTAGGATTTACATTCTTTGTCACATTAGACCTTAAAGTGCTGTCACAATTGAAATCGAGTCGACTGTTCCTCACTTGGAAAAAATGATTGCCATCATACATTAATATTATAAAAATAACATCAACAGTTCTATTAATACATATCTTTTGTCCACAACTACATGGTGTTCACTAGCTACAGTAGCTGTGACAGGTTCATCTTAATAAATCACAGATCCATTATCTGCCAAAGCTCTACTTCCGCCTAGTGCACAGTAACTGCAACAGCAGCCTCGTTACAGAGCGGCTGCAAACTACAGCGGTGCAGGTTACTCAAACCAGTAAATACACTGGTTACTCAACCAATATTTTATTAGTTACAAGTACACAGATGTCGCCTTTTCACACAAACTAATCCCGTAAGTCTTTGCTTGTTTTTTCTTTAAATATGTGTCCTGAAGGCAATTTGAAAAGAGTTGGTTTAAGAGATTTTTTCGAAGTGTAAAACTTATCCTTGATTTAAATAATGTTTTATAAAGCACCCCCCCAGTTTATATATACGAAAAGAACTCGCCATTTACCTCACACGTTTTTAGTCAGGTCTTTACTGATCGTTTGGATTAAAACAGGGAACAACCATTGTGACGCAGGCTTTCAATTGATGGAACAGCAGAGGGCGCTGCTCTGATAGTCAGTTCGCCCGATGTTGATGGGTGTTTCCTGGTTAGGCTACGCATAGTTTAGGATTTAGGAACACACCCAGTGACATCAGTGAGGTTTGAAGAAAAAAAATCTTTTAACACGGTTACTGCAGTGGACCAAGGGGGCCAAGGGCGCCTTCCTAAGCCTCGGCTTTTTACATTTTATTATTAAAAATAGAAAACTTTAAAACTCCTTCAAATACAGTCGTCGGACAGTGAGGATCTTCAGCAAAATGTCAACTTCTGACGAAGCAGACGGGCTTCGGCCGCGGTATGGGTGTAAGTATAAAGTCTCGAAACTTTTTTTTTTTTGCTTCGTCAAATACGACTTACCGAATTGGGAAGAATTGTTCGCTGGAGGGAGCTATCCCGAGGTAGTGGCGCAAGAAAAAAGTGGGGTTGCTTTAACCCATATATACTAAACAGCTTTTTTAACGTTGTCTTAAGAGATGGTTTCAACCTTTTTTCTTGGAAAATAAGACGCAATGTGCAAACTCCCTGTCTTCCGCATTTTGCTTGACTTATAATAAACTTTTTTTTCAGGTTATGTGAGGGTTTACTTCTACTTTCCGATTTCAACTCTCCCTCCCTCTCCCTGTCAACGTGTGAGCCTCTGTCATTTCAATAGACTCACTCCGAGTCGAAACCTGTATTTTACCGTTTCCTTCGCGGCGAATGGAGCTGCAAAAGACGCGATAGGCGTGACCTTAACGTTTCAAAGTCAAAACATCACATTCAAGCTTTTCAAAAGTAGAAGGTGCTGTTAATCACGACCATTTCTATCCCCCTCCCATCTGAATTACTCCACGTGTACGAGAAGTTTAAACTTGTCTCAGACGAGATACTGATCTGTTATTTATAAGGGTAAACTCGTGTACTTCGAATCAGAGGCGAACAACTGAATGACGATGTTTAGCGTACAAAGCCCCTCATGGTACAGTATATGCATCCAGTGTTCATTCATTTACTTTCATATAAAAAAATAATCCTAATCAGCACATGTTATAACAATCAACAAGGTAGTTGTCCGCGACATACATTGGTTCGTCCCTTTTTTGATTTCCGTTTAAACAGGTGTGTCACCTAAAAGGTCAAGCGTAATCGGTTTAATCAATGTGTTTAGTAAGGGGTTACCGGTAAGAGGTGTATTTTGAGTGTGAAATAAGGGGCCCCTCTCTCATGAGCGCACTGGTGCCGCGGATCTGTCGATCCAATCGCAGCGAGCCGAGCCCTCGGCGCGAGCCTGGCTGTTCCGTGCGCGTGTCGGCGTGGCCGGGCGGCTCAGCCGGGTGGAAACAATCCGCCTCTGTGAAGCTCTCGCCGCGTCTGTGCTACGCCCTGCTGCTGCAAAGTCTATTTTGGGACGCTTTTCTCTCAACGCGGGAAGTTATTTCCGGTCTTAACTGCTTCAGACGTACTGTATAAGGCATTTTTTGGTTTAAAGCGCGCCAGCTGACACCTTGCTTTTTGTAGTTGTATTTCACCTTAACGCCATGTTGCCCACAGTCAATCCGTTTACATTGCATGTCTTCCCGTAACAAAGCGAACAGAATATCAACAGTATCGATAGCTTTCATACCAGTACCTACTCATTTACAAAACAAGCCGAGAGAGGTCACATTAATTTTTAAACCGGCAGATACAATGTTAAGTGTTTTAAAATAATCTTATCTGCACAAACCAGGATGTTTATTTTGACTTTCTAATGGCATAAAACCAAAACTGCCGGTTTCTCCCTTCCACCTTGGGACACGGACAGGCCGACTGTGCGGGCTCATGGCTGGTTCGTGTGCGAAGAAGCAGCAGAGGCATGTGGGCTCATTATGTGTCCCTGTGTAGCTATTCCCTGCGCTGGGCGGTCTTGGTCAGATTTCCAGAGCAGAAGATGGCACATATCCCAGACTGCCAACAAGAAAATCTCACCGACTTCTTTTTCTTCAAGAAAATGCCAGCTCAAGTTTTTGCCGTACCAGTAAAAGGGGGTTGAAACCTTTGCTGAAATTATACTTTCGAACAATAATGAATTGATTTTTGCTAACCATACCCAGTCCATTCCCTATTCTAGATGCTCTTAAAGAAATGGGATGCAATTCAAGAAGTTAGCATCAGTGATCCAGAGCATTGCAATTAAAATAAAAACTTTTTTTTTGCATAAGGCCGAGAGTGGTATTAATGCCACTCATATTTAGCCAGTGTGGAGTATTGTTCCAGCGTCAGTAGGCATTCACCTGGAAAGAACACCTGAAAGCTTATGCTTTCAGTATGTGTAGAGGTGTTTATAGGTCTTTTGACTCATTGGTCAAATGCTTTTCATATTCTTCTGAAAGGTGGCTGATACCTGCATCTGTACTGCATTTCAGCTCCACTTACAGTACCTCAAAACTCCATCTTCTGAGCCTGAACTTACTAACGCATAGCCCAGGAGCCAGATGAGTTCAGTACCCCTTTCAACATCGGCTCAACACACGAAGCACTGCAGCTCTTTCAAAAGTACAAAGAAACCCAGAGGGCTAGGACGAGCCGAGTTATGTAGTATGAAAAGATATTGAAAAGTGCCAATACTGGTAAAAAAACAGCAGTGAGAAGTTAACTTGTAAATGGGGGAGACTGTTATACCTAAATTGTCTCCAAACAGCAGCCCTTTGATGTAACTCACCATGAAATTAAATTTAATTTTGCGGTCGCTAAAAATCGTGTTGATTATGAAAGTGTGAAATAAAGTAATTAAAGAGTGACTGGGAGATGTAATTAAAGATGAAGGCGATGGCGTCGTTCGCTCTGTGCGCGGTAGGACCTTCATTTAAAAGAGCAGCTGGTGATATCTCTACCTACCTGTAGTGTTCTAACTTTTTGCCTTGGTGGTTGCTTTTGCCTGTGAGCCGCTTCGTTCAGTTCAGGTTTCCCATGACGTCTGGGTAGGCAGTATGTGAGGGAAGGAAATCACTGTGGCACCATCAAGGCTTCGTGCAATACTGATAAAGTTCCCCTGGGCGATTTCCTCACACAGACCCATAAAATTCTTTTTGGGAGGCGTTACGCCAGAGGCAGAGGCAAAATGTAAGCAGAATTAAATGCCACAGAATGGGACAGATGGCATAGACCTGGGTAGGCAAGGTGCCAGTGGCTGATGTAAAATAAGTGGCAGGTTGTTGCACAGAAACCTCCGTAGGGTTTTACTGTTGCCCTACTGCTGTTACAAGACCTAGGCCCGAGAATTGTGCTGACTGGCTCAGAAATAATATTGACATAAATTGAGTGTGAACATATTGTCAGTATATGTCGAATTAAGTGGGAATCAGCGAACCTGGAAGTGAAAAGGCTTGTCTGGCAGGTATTAGATGGTGATCACTGGTGCTGCCACTCCTTGTGTTCGTGCTGGCAGTTTGAAATGATTGAATGTGCCGGAGTGCCAGCATACGGGGCTCTAATCTCAGCTCTTCTTGTGTTTGCCAGCGGTCCTGGACGGCGTGGAGCGCCTCACGGCGGAGGAGATGGACGAGAGGCGCCAGCAGAACATGGCATACGAGTACCTGTGCCACCTGGAGGAGGCCAAGCAGTAAGGGCCTTGTGGGTCGAGGGGGGACATGGTGGCCAGTCTGGGAAATGTCAGTGCCAACGGGGCGCACGCTAAAAACTGCCCAAGTGGGCGCCTCCAAAAATGCTTTTGTTAATTTGCGTTAGTCCTTCTATTAGAAAAAATAAGATTTTTTTGTAAGAAAAATGTGATGGATGATATATGGACTTTGGAGACGTACCATCTGACCATCCAGGTCTTAAATCTTAGTTCTTGCAGCCAGTGAAATTAATCCACTTCCAGTCTTGGAGGAACACATGAAGCCGACACCAGAAGAGATAAGGAATATCTGGGGAATGGCCAGAGAGTTCGGTTGCTCCTGTTTCTGAAGAACACCACCATTGCCTCATAGTGTGTCTGCCTTTATTTGCAGGACTTCCTCATTTTGCTTTTGTACTTTGAGATCTGAGTGCAGCCAACTGTAGTAGCACTATGACTTCACATAAACTCCACGATTCTCTTGAACTCTTACACACTATTCGTGCAGAAATCCATGATGCTGCTTTTAGCACAAATACATAGTTTGCATGTCTCCTTTTTTGATCTTCTTTAACTTAATTTTGCCTTAGGTTACACAAAGCTTGCGAATTTAACGTCTGAAGCATGAATGCTTGTTGTTAATACAGGTGCTGCAGATGAAATTGGTTCCAATGTTTTAAAGAGGAGACTTTTTTTCTTCTGGTTTCTTTTGTGAGAGATTGCTGGTGTGAGAAAAGGCTGCGTATTCTCAGCCTGCCTGGCAGTGTTGAAATAGCTTAAGACTGTTGTTAAGGGTGTCTTATTAGCTTTGCTTGCCCCTGTTGTGCGTTTATGTCTACGAGCAGCTGTTTGTAGACAAACTGCAGTGTCACGAGCTGTAGTGTTTTAGTTCTGTCAATGCTGAGCCCACAGGAGGGGACATGCTAACAGACAGGGTGATGTAACTTGCAACCTCACCATTATAAGACTGACTTGTTGCCATTTTGTCACTAATCGTTTGTCACATTGTCACAGCCTGGCTGCTGGGGAGAACCCGGATGTTGACTGAAGTTTCCCTGCTGGGAAAGGCATGCATTTTGTGTCAGAATTCTTCTCTGTATTTGCGCCAGTCCTCGGACTGGCTCGGTTCATTTTCCTTTTCTTCTCCCCCGATGTGATATGAAACGCTGTTGTGCAAGCTGTCGCTGTTTCTTAATGGTGTGCTGTGAAGCAATGCCCTTTCTTTTGCTTGGGTAACTGCTGTTCCAAGGGCCTGTCGAGGTTCAGTGTAAGAGGAAAGTGTGGAGGACCTGCCTGTGGGTGGCAGAGTGTAATAGAGCTGATGTGGTCATTGCCTGCCTGGTACTGACCAGCAGTCATACGTGTAAAGGCTTTTAGCCGAGGGTAGGGATAGTGCACGCACCTGAAGAAGGCTCCACGTTGTGTTTCTTTTCACCCTTTTCAGCGTGGAATAAAACTTTTATGTGTCCCTTAGGGACATTGCATTTTGTTTTGTGCAATGTCAAAAACCTCTAACCACTACCTGGCCACTGAAACCAATTTGAGGGTATGTCAGTTATCGTGTGTTTGAAACAGCCCCCTGCCTGCAGTTGTGCTCAGAGAGAGGCCTTGTGGGATTAATTAATGCTGGGATTGCTAGAAGTATGTTTCGTGGTCTAAACTGAGCTTGAACTGCTGGAAGGGATTTTTTTATAGGCAGTGGAAAAGGGGAGACTGCTGGGATGGAGGCGATTGAGTGGTAATGGCCATACCTTCACCCCTGACGGTAAACTCAGCTCAGATCACAGTCTGCTAATAACTCCCTTGCCCTGCACTCTCACCAGTCCCGCAGAGGACAGCTAGAACTGTTGTCTTGCTTTTGACAAATTCAATTGCCTCTGCATGTCAAACAAGATGAGAGAAGATTGCTGGCCTTAGATGTCATGACATCATATTGTTTCTCATACAAAACATTTAAAAACCTCTGATCAAGACCCTCTGGCATCAGGTATATAAAGGCTATTGGACCAGTCTATTTGACAGGGCTTTTGTTAAGCAGGTGTCAATAGTGATGGCTGCTCTGTAAAGTTGGAATGTACATCTTGGACTGTTGGAGTGCTCTAAATTAAAGTATTAATGAGCAATAGAGCGGTTTCTGCACACTCATCCTTGTCATTCTGATGGCCCAGACACAAGCAAGAGGACAGAGTGAATGCAACAGGAAGTGAGTCAGTCTCTGCAGATCTCAATATCTCAGAGTCGTCATGGAGACGGGTTCCGGTATACATGTGTGTGTATAAGAGAGAAATGGTGGGAGGTAGTGGGGGTTACAGCCGAGGTGCTGATAAAACACAGTTGTCAGGAAGGTGCAGCAGAAGAGCTGTTACAGGGTCATGCTGTGCAGTACTCCTCTGCTCCTAAAACAGCTGCTTTCCCTTGATCCTCTCGTTCTGACACTGAGCAGCTGCAGTGAGACACTATGCAGCTGTGCACCTACTGAAGCTCTTTTTCCTTTCTGTCCTGGATTACAGAATGTGCTGTCGGTATCTGCAGATTCAGCAGGTTTAGTGGAAGGTCACTCACTTAGGCTATTCTCAGACCCTCAAAGAGAAAATGGATTTCAGGATTTTCTAGAGAAATAAAGTATGAACTGTCGAGCACAGGGAGAGCAGTGTTATGGCTCAAAACACAAAGCGTGAGTGGTGGTGAAGGTAAAACACTTGAGGTTCCCCTTCCAGCTGCAGAAAACAACTTTCCTGAAAAATACTTTTGTGCTTTTGAATAAACTCAGAACTTTAGAATACAGGGAAACATTACCAGTCCTTCAGGGCAGCAGCCTAGCTTTCCGGTTTTCTTTTACATCTTCCAAACACTGCTATACAGTAACTAACTCTTGTTGGGACTATTTTAACTCTTCCCTGCTGGTAGTTGGCTGAGGAAGATGTAACAAGAGCTTAAAGAGACCTGGTGGACAGCAGTATTTTGGGACATGTCGTAATGGTATTTAGTTCAGTCTGCATGTTTTAGATATTTTCATTCTGATTGTAGATGGTTCATTATTTTATAATGCACAGTAGAACTTAAATTCCAATTAGCAGTGCATTTTGCTCATTGTAGAACAGATTACAATCAGATATATAAAATAGCACATGCCATTTTACTGTAAGCTCTGATAATTCTCACTTAGTGTTTCTGTTAACCATGACGGCATATCCCGGCTCTTACTGGGAATGCAAATATGGCAACTGTATTATCAGGAACGATTTCCATTTTTGACAGTCTCTCAGGTATCTTTGTTCCTTTCTTGTTTGCACTGGAGTTTCATGGTCTCAGGAAAGGCAAAAAAATCATTTGAATAGCTCCTCTCTTCAGTTCCCTCTCTTTCATATTGCAAGTTCTCTGCCACGTAGTGGATTTTAATTGCTGCTACTGTTGTCTCAGGCCCTAGAAACACAGTCCCATGTTTTTTTGACAAAGTTACACAATACATAGTTGCTATGCTGGTAGATAAGTAAAAATGCATATATATTTTTCTAGATCAGCTTTTATGCAGTGCTAAACCAGAGAGCTGGAGAGGAAATTCTAAGCTCAAGCTTTCACCATGACATGGTTTTTAGAGCCTCCCAAACCCGTATAAAAGCGAACACTGCTTGATTTCTCTTTGTCTCACATGACTCCTTTGTTACCTCTTGATCTAAACTGTTGGGATTGGAAGCAATTATGGTGTTTGAGTCCATAACTCTCAGATAATTGTCTGCTTGGGAATGTGTTTCAGCTTGTTCAGCAGAATAGCACGCAAGTTCCTCTTCTACCCATCCTACAGGAGCTACACCTCGATATTGTTACTGCACGCTTGCCCCATGTAAGGGGACGTCTGTGCAAGTGGTCAACAGCCACAGCTAGGGCTCCATTCCCCACTGAGAAACGGATCCATACTCTGGCTGCACCGTACTGTGAAGTTTGGTTTCACCCCACTATTCATTCAGCCAAGTGGTGCTCTCTCCAAGTTCCTCAGCCCAGACCTCAAACCACACTGCCGCCCTCCCCCTCACCCTCCCCCGGTCCCTCAGATCTAACCTGCTTGTCCTTCAGCGTTAAGCACACACTCTTCACCTCCCTCTGCCCCCTGTTTCAGATCTTACCTCAACCACACTGCCCCCCTCACTTTTTTTTGTCAGTCCCTTGGCAGTAGCCTCACAAAACACTACCTCCAAATATCCCCAGTTCCCCCTGCTGCCACCAGCTCAGAGTTCCCTTCAGCCCACAGCCAAATGCTGTTTGTGTTTGAGGGCAGTAGGTGTTCAGTTATGGCTGCCGAGTGTGTATACGAGACACTCCAATGTTTTGTGTATTTGAAGTGTGTTTATATTGAAGATGTTAATGACAGGCTGTAGTAGCATTCATCCTCAGCTCTGATAGACTCCAGATTTTAGGATGTGTGGTCTGTAAGCACTGTACTGGAAAGCAGTTAGAGGAATAAGAGCTCACCTTTACCAGAATGCTGGCATACTGACAGCTTTAGTGTCAAGCATTCTCTGTTCCTGGAAGGGTGACACTGGCAGGACCCTACAGACATACAGCGGAAGAGGAAACTGTGACAGCAGCTGTTACACTGGCAAGTCAGTTTTTTTCTGCCGTATCTTCGCAGATGGTCTCGCACATTGTGCACAGCAGTTCACGGCAGCCTCGCCTTTAAAGGGGTGCTTTGCACTTAATCCAGTAGAGGACAAATTTCATTTCCTAAAATGACTTAACTTTTTTTTTTTAAAGCTCTTTCTCACCGCGCTCATCAGTCGGAATGTCTGGAATGAAAACGTACCGTTTGCGTGTACTGAAGCATCTTTAAAAACGCAGTAGAGAAGGTGGGGGTTTGAACTTTTTTTTTTTGTGCTGAAGTGTTCCACAGATGGAATAGGAACATCAGCACACATCAGGTGACAGGGTCTTTACCAGCACAATCTTCTGCAGCTACCAGTGGCAGGATTGCAGAATGACTTTCACAAAACTGGGCTTTTAAAATGGTG